TTGCTTTTATTTATTTGCTGCACTTGTTTCCTGTTGTCATTACAGAATCCGTTCCAATAAGAGAATGCTGTTACTGGTGGGTGGTTTGCCCCCCGGACCCGATCGCCTCCCCAGCAATTTGGTCCAATACTATGACGATGAAAAAAAAACATGGAAGATCCTCACAAGTGAGTTTAAAGCAGAAGATTTTATGTGAGGGTTTTTTTTTCCACCATCTTTCTCCTGTTCGGGGAGTTTTACGGTCGTTCCTGTGGATGACTTTAACGCGGGTTAATTTGAGCGAAGGAGTTCCCTAAATCCTTCAGGTAATAATATATCACTATCACTTTTTAATATAAGTTTCTAATCAGAGCGTGACTTCACGCCACTGCGGAGCGTCACGCCTGGTTCGCCTTGTTTTTGCTGAAATATGCTGCTGAGATGCATGATGAGATTCACTTGAATCTAATGATCTGCTGTGGCAGAGATTGAACGCGGGCTTTGAGTGATATCTTTGCCAAGTGGCTTTCAAATTCATCCTGATTATTCACCAGCGCTGATCAATACCGGCTGAATTGCTCTAATTATTTACCCAAACACACTTGAAACGCCATCTGAGGTCTTAGACTCCTAACTCGAAAACGAATACTGGTCTCTTGCTTTTTTTTTTTTTTTAGACAATCGATAATAATACGATCTTGAAATGAAGTTTGCCTCAGAATGAGCACAACAGAATAATGGAGCGTACTCAACTGTGTCGATTGAAGTGGATGAGGTGAAAAAGGAGTGCATTACTTGGCTGCAACCAGCAGAGGCACTGTTGAGTCACTCGCTTGCTGTCGAAAGAAGGCCAACATGATTTCGAGTTACAGCCATGCTGCAATGCAACTCTTACGAGTAGTACGTGGAAAAAAAAAAAAAAAAAAAAAAACAAAGAACAACACACAATTTATATGTTGGGGTAATTTAAGTTGAGAAAAACTGTAAAATATAAAATACTGACTTTTATGGCAACATTATTTTGTTTTTGCTTATGTTTTCAAATTGGGGGTTCAATCAAAGGGAAATCCAGGCAAGCCAATTTTCACAACAGCAAAACATAAAATATTTTTCTGTCATGATGACTTCGTCACAGACTACGGCGCCTGACTTGCGTTCCAATTCAAGTTGTCTCGCCACTGCAGGAACAAAGCTTTGACGAAAATGTTGCCTGCATTACGAGTATCAGTTATCGCATTCTGTTGTTTTTCAAGCTACTCCCAAGACCTTGTATTTCATGTGGGGAAATTGAGCCACATTCCCTCCCGATCAAGCATCCTCGACCTTTCCCAGACTCACCCCTCTCTATTTGCTCTCATATTACAAAGGTCAAACTCGAGATAATGGGAATATTTTTCTATTCTCTCCTATTGAGATTTATTTGTTGTTGCTCATTTCTCAGCGTTAGCGGATTGTTTTGTCCCCCCCCCGTCCTTTCGGCTCTTTTCAGAGATACACACCACACCATTTATGTTTTTTTTCATTATTCCTGTTGTAGTCTTTTAAAAGTCATAATTATCGCACTTATTATTTGGTGGGGTTTTTTTTCTTTTTTTCCCACTTTGTCCAAAATCATCTGTTTGCAACTCAACATGCACATGCTCAGTCTGCACAGTCATTTGCTCATTACCCTTAGCCCTCATGGGGTAGGAGTGGCAGCTCGCAGAAAGGTCACTGGGGATTTCCATCAGTCACAACTAAAAAAGTTAACACTCAAATGGTCCGTGGCCTTGCGGAAGGACAAAACTGCACAATCATCCCCTGAACACATCAGCGAGCGTCTGATGTGGCCTGCGCACACAATGGACGTGAAAGAGAAGGAGATTATGAACATTCAATCATAACTTTCCAATGAGGCGAAACCTGAGAGGGACAGCCTTTGATTAAGACATTCATCAAGATAATTTGGAAGATTCTTGATTCTCTTCCCTCGTGTTGTGTGTCACACCGAGTCGCTCGCCGTTGATCCCAGTGTGAAGTTTGCCATCTAGTGTACCAACAGAAGCGTGAACAAAGGACCGTCATCACATACTTTGCATCATTAAAGATAAAAGGGACTCCACCCTAGTGCGGGTATGATGGGGGGGAGGGACACAAAAGAGCCAGAGCTGGCGTCAGTCGAGTGTGGCCTGCCTGCGTGCGGAGGTTTCTGACTCCCTCTAGTGTGAGTCCCTGAGCTCAGTGTCGACAGCAGCCACGGAGGGCGACCCTGCAGGAGGGGTAGATTAACTTCATCCGCTTTCAATTTTACAATAAGGTCCAACACGGGGAGGAACTAAAAGCCAATGGCATGTTTTATGCTTTCCAGCATCTCAGTCAGGTATGACGCCTCGCCCGCCACTTATCCCGCCGGCCGCCTGCATCCCAGGCACCTGTAGAGGCGGGACAAACGTCCCGCTTCCTCCGACTGTACACTCTCCGCCGTGCCTCCGCCACCCCCCCCCAGTCCCCTTCCACGGGTATAAGATGATTTCAAGTCACTAGACATCAAATAAAAATCCGCCCATGCGTGGCCTTTATACTTGCTGACTGAACGATAATGTAAATAGCATGTAAGGGAGTTTGTCAGTCATATGGCACTTGTCTTTGAGGTGCACTGGAGGCAGGCAACCGAATCCCCTCCTTTTGAGATAAAGCTGCGTTTAGTGTATGAGGTATAAAGCGCCCCTCTCTCTCTCTCTCTCTTCTTCCTCCGGAGCGGCACATGTCAGGCAGGGCCGAGTGAGATTGTGGCGAGAGGGCCAATTGGAAAGAAATGAGATTCAAGGCTGTCTAATTCTGCAGCAACTGTGATCCATCAGGCGCCGGGGAGGCGGCACTGGAAATGACTGATGGAGACAGACAGGTGGGCTTTAACATTCCACTGATTTGTGCTCCACCAGAGCCCCCCGACCCCCACTCTACCCCACCAAGCCGCCACCTCACCCGAGATTTATTGAGTGAACACGATCGTGTTCATTACGACTGTCACCCGAGACCATTTCTCCACATCTCAATGGGGGTCACTGCAACAAAAGAAGATGGAAGACAGGGGGCGAGCGCAAAATCAGGTGTGCCCCATCAAAAGTGATTAATATTATTTTATTCTTTTTTTTAAAGATAACAAGGATCGTCAGCAACTTTTAGTACTTCTGGAAAGATCTAGAAGTGTGTCTTTATGAATTGCTGTCCCATCACAAGGTTCGGGTTACAGCTGGTGGAATGAATATGGTCTTCCGCGAATTATTTCCGCAATGTTGGAAGCATAAAATCATCCAAAATGAAGATTTAAGAGGTCACTTTTTATCTGTTTGTCAAACACGATGAGCAGAGCCACTCCTGAACTGTTGTCAACCACAGCTCACACACCCGCTATGCACGTGCAGACTTGCTGATGTCTAGGGCTGCAACTAACAATTATTTTAATAATGAATTAATCTGTCCACCTTTTTATTAAAAACAAACAACAACAAAAAAACAGGACATTCTTTCAAATTGACCCCCGTTATGGCCCACATTTAACACACAGACATTATAATATGTACTACTAACATTTTATACTTGCAATTTTTGTGTGACTTCAAATACGTGCATTGTGTTTAAAAAGTGTGTTTTAACGTTCTTTTTCTATATGGTCTTTCAATATATTGCAAATTTCTGCCTGTTGGCAAAATAAATGGGCTTTCATTGTACTCCGCTTTAGACAAGAATTATAGATCCGATGTCAGCTCCCGACCGCAGCTGTGGTTCGATGCTTAATTCTCTTGGCTTTGTGTGTCGCGCAGTAATGCCTTACAACAGTGCCCATCACTGCGTTGTGGAGGTGGAGAACTTCCTGCTGCTGCTTGGCGGGGAGGACCAGTGGAACCCCAACGGTAACGACGATGCACCTCACTCTACATTCATTTATTTTTGTTTGTTTGTTTATTTTTTTTGCTAAACTAAGAGAGCATTATCTGTGAACCTTGCACTGTTGCACAAACAACACAACAGTGATAAAAAAAAACAACACCCACCAGTCACACTTGTCATGATTTGGCACCGAGAAGTAGCGGTGGAAAAATTTGAACGTGTCAAGTTGTTTCATTGTCGAGAAGACTGTAAAATCCAAATTGTAAACATTCTATTTTCTCCTTTTCTGTAGGAAAGCACAGCACCAATTTTGTAAGTCGCTATGACCCCCGATTCAACAGTTGGATACAACTTCCTCCTATGCAGGAGAGGTGAGGCCACTTCCTGGACACTTTGTAGAAAGGTTTTATTGCATTACAACATGATTGCTTTTTAATGGAATCCATTCATTTGAGCACCAGCATCAGGCTGTCCATAGGGTTGAAATTAAATGCTAGTAAATGAATGGATTTGAAAGTAGCGCTATGGCTTGAAACCTGAATTTGAAACCCAAAGACCATCTTGAAACCTTAATATGACATGCTGATTTCAAACTCTGGCACTTGTTTGAAACCCCAATCCACAAAAATTTGAAATTCTAACCCTAATTTGAAACCTCAGCAGCCCCTATTGCACCCGTGTCAAACTCAAGGCCCGGGGGCCAGATCTGGCCCGCCACATCATTTTATATGGCCCCGCGAAAGCAAATCAAACATGTCCACTTCCATGATGCTTGCTAAAATCTCTACCAAAATTTAAAATTCTCATATTTAGTAAATTAGAGACATATTGTAAGCATTTTCTTGTGATCAAACCCCTCGTTACAGAAATGTAAACGATAGTTGAATAAATCGTTATTATATGGTTTCAGTCGTAACGGCCTTCCAAGGGAAATGGTAACTAAAATGTGGCCCGTGACAAAAATGAGTTTGACACCCCTGCCCTAATGTCACAAGATGGATGAAAAAGAAGAAGAAGTAGCCCCAAGGTAAAATCCTAACCGAGACTTGGACGCTGATTAGAAATACGAAGCCATGTTTGAAACTCTTGACACCAAAAAGAGAAACCCCAACCCTGGTTTGAAACCCTACTCCCATTTTGAAACCCTGACCGTGGCTATTTGAACCATGACACTGTGTTAAAATCTGAATAATTTGTCCTGTTACGGGATTATTCATTTGATGTTATTGGCCATTTGTGTGTACCGGTAGTTTTGTAAATCTCAAAATCTGTGTGACAAACGTGAAATGATTTCAACAGTTGCCATTCAAATAATGAGAAGAAATTAACAGAGGGTATTAACCCTTTCAGGGACATCTTATCATGATATCAGGTTGCAGGGTGCATGAAAGGGTTAAATTCAATTTGCGTGTTTCTGTGATTTATATGGAAGAATTAACCGGGCCTCCTAAATGCAGTCGTGATGGTGCTTGAGTGCTTACGCTTCTCCGCTCCTTGACATCTCACGGGTGCCGCTTGGTCCTCAGGAGAGCCAGCTTCTTCGCCTGCCGCCTGGACAAGCACCTGTACGTGATTGGCGGCCGCAACGAGACGGGCTACCTCTCCAGCGTGGAGTCATACAACCTAGACACCAATGAGTGGAAGTACATGTCGTCTCTGCCGCAGCCTCTGGCCGCCCATGCCGGCGCGGTGCACAATGGCAAGATCTACATATCAGGTGAGAGAACACAACAGTTAGCATTAATGTTGTCAAGAAGCCAGTCGTTTTGTATTTGCGGCAAAAATACTCACACACTCTACTGACCGTATTTTCCGCACTAAAAGGTGCATCTAAAAGCCTTCCATTTTCTCAAAAGCTCACAGCGCGCCTTAAAATCCGATGCGCCTTGTGTATGGCCATTACGGTGATATGTCGACCCCCAAAATGGCTCCTTGCTACAGACATGCTTACAACGCAGAGTTCAAACTTAAGCCGATCGGTTTCGCAGTTGAACACGGAAATAGAGCAGCGGCGAGAGAGTTCAACGTTAACGAGTCAATGTTATAACTTGCTGTTGGTTAAATGAACTGTGTCGCTGCTTGATTAAATACGTTTTACTGACATCTGATCGCTCCGTTGGCGTTTCCTTGAGCGTAGCTCCATCTAGTGGAGTCATTGTAGATCGCGTCTTATAATGCGTTGCGTCCAATATATGAAAAAAAATTACAAAATAGGCCATTCATTGAAGGTGTGCCTTTTAGTGTCGAAAATACGGTAATAATCTTCTGGATGATTATTTGTCACTCCCAGTTGAAGGTCACTGTAAAATTGACACGTAAAACAATGGAAAATTCAGCATAAGTGAGTTTTGATCAATTTGTTCAAGTGTGTGTGTGCGGGTGGGGTAGGTGGGGCGGGGGGCGGCTGAAAGGTGAATTATATCAAGGATTTTTTTTTCCTTATGGTTTTGTAAGGAATGCCGAGACAAGGCCCCTGGGGGCTGCCCTGTAGCCTTATCGGGAAAAAAGAATCCACAATGGAATTCCTTCTCTCCAGTTCTTGTAAAGTTAATATGCGATGATTTATTCAGTATTTAACAAACACCACAGTCAGGTAAAAATTTCCGCACCTGGCTCGTACCTCTGTATCCCATGGGATCAAGATGTCAGGTCACCGCCCCCTTCCTTGGTGAGATATAGGTTTATAAATCAGAGGCAGTCCACATGCAAACCGGCTAATGGGTTAACAAGTTAATAGCCAGCAACCGGCACACCGTCATTCGCTCACAACCAGACCACTTGATATTTTTTTCTGCCTTATAAGTCTCCAAGATTTCAATTCATCAGTCCTTCATGCTCTCAGCCACTTTACATTGTCATCCGAAGAGGTTGAACAAAAAACGACAACACTCTTTTGACCAACTTGAGAGAGGAAAGTACAGATCGATTTTCAAATGTGCCCTACATTTGAAAATCAGAAATTTAGGGTGAAAAGTCATCATAAAAAAACCCCCAAATAACTCAAGTAAAGTACAGTAGCACAGTGTCCAAACATTTGTACCACCGCTCATTCATCATCAGTATGTTTGCCTTTGCAGGCGGGGTCCACAACGGCGAGTACGTGTCGTGGCTGTACTGCTATGACCCGCTAATGGACGTGTGGGCTCGCAAACAGGACATGAACACGAAGCGCGCCATTCACACGTTGGCCGGAATGAACGATCGCCTCTACGCCATCGGGGGGAATCACTTGAAAGGTAAGTGTGGCGGGAAGCGATCAAGAGATTGATTGTTTTGGTTTGTTTTGTTTTGGGGTTTTTTTTTGTTATTCAACCGTTTCCCTTCTTTCTCTTTTCTTTAGCGATGCAGCACAATGTTATTGTTTTGCACGTTGCTGTTTTTGTAACATTTTGAGGCACTTTGTTGAATGTTTCCCCTCCATTTCTGTAGCGTTAGTCACATTGATTTGCCCGAAAGACCAAACCTTTTTTTTTTTTTTTTTTTTAAACCCTACCTTCAGATGTCAAAAGTCATTATATACAAGTCAGACTGGAAACAAGAACCGTAACTAACGCCGGATATGCGAAGCAGACCAGATCTTCACTCACCTTCTTCAAGTTTCCATTCAGAGATTCTTTCTCAATGTCAAAGCAGGAGCCTTATTGATTTTTGGAGGATATCAAACATAAGATATCTGAAGCAGATCAGTGCCCAATAACCCTTTTTGCAACGCTCTGCCAGGTGCCATTTCCAGATGCACGCACACGATCGGTGCACACTCAGGTGTCAGGTGTAATTCCACTCATCGTTTTCAAGTTTTACATGATTTTGAACAGTATTTGAAAGTTTTGCTGTTGTGTTTAGCAACATGCTAAGTCCTACGCACCACATTTAATAAATAGTTGAAACCATTCTTCTTCTGTCCCCGCTCACAGGTTTTTCTCATTTAGACGTCATGTTAGTGGAGTGTTACGACCCCAAAGGCGACCAATGGAACATCCTGCAGACACCCATCCTGGAGGGACGCAGCGGGCCGGGCTGTGCAGTCCTGGACGACAGCATCTTCCTCGTGGGAGGCTACAGCTGGAGCATGGTACGGTACAGTAGATCAGGTCTAATAATTACAGTATCTTCCAAGGATAATTCTCTTTTTTTTTTTTGTCTTTTGTGTTCCCCATTTGGAGAGTCTAAATCTCAACATGGGTCAATGATTCCGAGAATGGTAGAAAATGTCTGACTTTGTTTCCTTATTAAATTGTCTGTATTGAAGCTGCTTCTTCTTTTGGAATAAGCATAAAAACAAAAGACATGTAGATTTAATCCTTTAACGATTGTGGGTAAGGTCTCACCTGCTGATATGCATATGTGTGGGTATGCAAAGTGCGAAGAAAAAATAAAGGCAACACTTTGAGTTACATTGTGCTGCCTAAGTGTTCCCTTTTTTTGTGAGCAATGTGTGCATATATATATATATATATATATATATATATATATATATATATATATATATAAACTTCTTTTTAAACAATCTTTGAACAAATACACAACTCAACTTGGACAAATCGGACTTTATTTTAGTGATATTCCACTGAGGCTAAACCCCCCCATCGTGATATTTCCTCTAGGGGGCGTATAAGTCTTCAACCATCTGCTATAGCCCGGAGAAGGCCACATGGACAGAGTTGGAAGGCGAGGTGGCGGAACCTTTGGCGGGCCCGGCTTGTTCCACCGTCATCCTGCCTGCATGCCTCCCCTTCAATAAATGACAACTAATGCAGCCCAGGGACGGCAACCAGAGTGATGATTGGGGGGAGCAGTGCCCGTAAGCAGGCAGCCATTTTACCACCAACCTCCCCCTTCTGCTCAGTCGAGTAAGGGGTGTATAAATCATTTTTTTTACAAGTTTGACCAGAGCACTTTGGTTATTCCCTTGTGAAGGTATCAAGAGAGGAAAGAAAAGCGGTGTGTAAGTCATGTATTTCAATTGCTTTGATTTATTGACACTATCGGTGGCTGTTTTCTTCTATTCTATAGCACCACTTAGCTCAATGCTAGCTTTCGGGTGCGTCGTATATCTTGTACACGTCAATCCGACAACAAACAGAGGGGGAGAGAGAGAGAGAGAGAGCGAGAGAGAGAGAGAGAGAGAGAGAGAGAGGGCGTTCCCACTGGATGTTGAAGCTCAACCAGGACTGGTGAGTTCTTTTCATGTATAAATAGTTGTCATGGCTCACTGTGTTGACACTTGGTCACTTGCTTCGAAGATACTTTACCTTTCTTTTCTCTCACGTTCCTGCATCCAAAGTGGGACCACACTTTTGTTTTTTTTTGGGGGGGGGGGTTGTCCACTGTAAAAAAAAAAAAAAAAACATCGTGATAACTGTAAAACGTGCAGCCCAAGTTGACTTAATTCCAAATGGTTCCAAAGATTTTTTTTCACCTATTGGTTGATTTCATGGAAAATCTCAACCATGCCGCACGAGTTAGTGATCAGTGTATTGAAGAACATATTGATGGTACAATCAAATTAGAATTGCTCACCAATGTTCAAAAAGCATGTTTGCCTCAATTGAGTGGCGACTACAAATGAACACGCCACCCACAGAAATGTTATGGTATGCTACGATCTTCCAAATATGAGTATGAAGAAGCATTTGGGTGACACAGAAAAGAAAAACCTGTATTACTACGAGATAAAAATCATCATTGTAACCAAGTAGGACATGACTCCAATATGTGCTCATCTTCCAGTAATGATGAATCAATTGCGTTACTTTTTTCCAGTCAAGTAATCAGACTACAATCACTCTTCATATATGACAAAATGTTACTGCGCAAGATGTATTTGCTTCAACTTGATGACGATATCCGTAATTGAAAGATTAATTCTTTTCCCCGTCAAAGACAGTTAGAAAAAACCAACTCCAGATTGCAGCAGTAAGAAAGAATCAACTTCTCATCCAGGGTGACGTTTTCTTTAAGAAATATTTTTTTTCCACTGTGAGTATGTTTTCCCCCCCCAATTTGGCCTCAATATTTCTTCATATATGAGCATACAGCGGACCTTAATGCACTAATAGTGAGCCTGTGAGCTCGCTGTAATGTAAATGATTTATTGTCTTGTGTTAAAATAAAACAAAAACAGACAAAAAAAAACTCTTTCAGTACAAATGAGTCCAGTCTTGTCTATGTTACTGAGTTTAAAAAAAAAAAAGGGAAAGAAGGTCGACTCTAGATGTTGAATCCTGTCAAGGTTTGTTGACTTCATTCCTGTACATAATCGCTTGCTGCAGTGAAACGTTTTTGGATTTATTCTCAAATCCTGTTTATGTCCTTTGCATTTTAGACTACGGAAATAAACTGACTCTTGATGACCAAAGTCTCTTCATCCATGCATTTTTTTTTAAATCGACGTTGCCTGACCTCGCCTGATACGTCGGCACTATGGAAGGTGGTCAGCCAATCACGGGGAACAAATGTAGAAACGACCGTTCACACTCACATTCACGCCTAAGTACAATTTTAATGGTTAAAAACGGAATATATTTGTGTTGCTCATTTAAAAAGGTGAACGTGTAGCCCAGATTCACTTCATTCCAAAAAGATGAATTTCACGTTTTTTGAATTGAACTCGTCAAATAAATGTTAAAATACAGGCGCTCCCCGCTTGACGAACTTTCGTGTTGCGAACAACGGTACATACGAACATTTTTGCGGGTACAGGTATGTCGAAAAATGTTCTCGGACAGAGATGCTGTCAGTCAGATTTTGTATTGCGCGCCTTTTTCCGAGTACTGTAGTACTTCTTTCCGCCGCTAATACCGACGTGAGGCGCTGTGAGAGGAGGAGGAGGAGGAGGAAACGCTTGTCCCCATGAAGAAGTTCGAGACGGAACTCTCTCCCCCTCCATCATCTCCTTAAGCATTCGAGTACATCTTCCAAAAGTATGTTAAACTTCATTTTATTACACTTATATAAGCCTTAAACATTCTTATATAAGCCTTAAACATACATTCCATACAAAATATAGCACTGAAGCAACTTACGTACGAATTCAGCCAGCGAACGATCCTTCGGAACGTATCTCGTTCGTTACCTGGGGAGCGTCTGTAAATGTTTCTACCGATTTACTTCCGTGTCCAAATACCTGTGTCGTGGGTGGGTGGAGCTAAAAACCACAAGGTATGTTTGGCATCGCTGTTTGAAACATTAGGTTGGGATGTGAGCACTTTTCAAGTCTTTAATCAGCGTGTGTCATGTCAAGGCAGACGACCCCAGTCCCAATGCTAAACGCCTCTTCATCTGCTCCGGGAATTACTGCAGTGAACACCGGTGACCTTTTAATTAACATTGTGGTCAATTTTAGCACTTTTTTTTCAAAGGCAGAGAATGTGAGCTTCCTGATTCTCGTGTGGTCAGGATGGGACAAGAACTACAGTAAAAATGCAGCCGCTCAAATGCCATTGATAATTTTTTTATACTCAGGCAATCTTTTTACATTTAATTCAGTCATGGAGAGTAAATAGATCTCGGATGTACCATTAGAATAGGAGGGATGTGAAAGCAAAGCAAAGATATTTAAACCAAGCTTCTCGATCACAGGACGTATTACGGAAGAGGATTACGGCCAATGAAGAAAAAAAATACACGTTTAGCAAAATTCTGACTTTTATCTCCGTATTCTGACTTTAAAGTGACATATCTTGCCAACCTTGTTTTTTTTCTTCATTGGCCCTAATCCTCTTCCGTACAAGACAAAACTGAAAATAAAATGTTAAAAGTCGACACCACCCTGTTAAAATGCCAGATTTTTGTGGGATCAAAAATGAGACCAAGATAAACATTTAACCAAAAAAAATTCCACCTCTTTGACATATAATCAATACGATTTAAATAATTTAAAAAAATCTTATTAATTTAGCATTGCTGCTTAACAACATGTTCATTGCACGCACACTATTTTTGTGACATTGATGGATGTGTCTATTTGAAGTAACACGGCATCTATTTAGAAGTTTTTAGGTATGTAGCTTGATTCCACCATCTAGTGGTGAGTGTATGAGTCAAACGCGCGAGCGCGCGCGTACACACACACACACACACACACACACACACACACACGCACACACGCACGCGCACGCACACACGCACACACACACGATCTCCAATGGACCTGTTGCACTCAACTGATCTCCTGTCAAATTTTCTTTGAGTCATCATCATCATTGGCATTTCTTTGAGTGGTCATTATGAAACACAGAAGAATTATTGACATTCTTCCTAGTTTGCAAAGGATGAAAAGCACACAAAGTGACTCATAGCACGGCAGCCGGTCGGTTCGGGTGGGGTGCGTAGGGGAGAGGAGGGGGCGGTTGGCTCGCCAGGGCTGGTGGGCTCGCTTTATTTCCACACTCAACTCGTGTTTACGCTCCTGCGTGTAGGGAAGGGAGGACCGCTGCTCCCTGGCTGCCAGCCACCCCGCGGCTATTTATAGCCGCCTCGGTGGGAATCGTCCACGCGAAGGCATCACCCTCCTCATCATCACCATTCTCCTCCTCATCCTTGTTCCCAACTTGTGCGGAGCGAGACAAGAGGGGTCTGCATGGAGGATGCAACCTGACCCGGACGCTGGAAAGGAATAAGAGCGTCTTATGGAGGTAAAAGTGCCACATTGTTGTTTAAATTGATATATTTGTGTTTGTTTCATATATATCTGCAATTGTAGTCGCCAATCAAGAATGTTTGCCTGGTACATAATTGGCTGGTGGATGAATTGCTCCACTTGACTTGCAGAAAGTGCGGTGTGTGTGTGTGTGCGTGTGCGTGCGTGTGTGTGTGTGTGTGTGTGTGTGTGTGTGTGGGTGTGTGGGTGGGTGGGCGGGGGGCGGGGTTATGTTCGAGCCTCAGCTGCTGTTGTGTGCGAGGGTGAATTACACGCTGGAGCGGAGTGTTGACAGGAGCAGCTAGAGAGAGAGAGAAAGAGAGAGAGAGAGAGAGAGAGAGAGAGAGAGAGAGAGTGCATTGTGAACCCCGGGAACTGTTTAAAAGCAAAAATAGATCACAGCCTGCAACCAATTATGTCATCTTGCAGCAGTCATAATTTCAGAGCGGATCGATTCCACAGTATTGCTTGTCAGTCGTATTTGTTTTATGATCAGCAGATGCTCCTGGCATCACTCATCCAATATACATTTGATTTGATTACGAAGCCATTTGGAAAACAGCTTGCATTTCATTTCATCTCATTTCATTATGATCCAATGTGAGATGCATTTATTTTATTAACTCCAGCTAGGTACTTTTGTTATTTTATCTTATACAATATTATTAAATGATGAAATTTTATTGTCAACCCAGATGTAAGATTTTACTTACCCGTATTTATTTATTTTATTTTATTAGTAACGCAGCCACAAATACTTTTACATTATTTTTCAATTTTTTGAACAGTTGATTTTAGTTGATTCGATGTTCAAACATCGAACATCAACATTTCATTTAATTTGTTTTCATTTGTTATTTTATCAGCACAGTCGGCATGACTCAGACTTGATCTTAGTTTTACTGTTTTGTGCTTTTTACTGTCTTCGTTATTAATTTATTGTTTTATTGTTGTATATCTATTTGCTCCATGTACAGCACATGGTATACAGCGATTGTTGTTTTAAAGTGCTCTAGAAATACAGTTAAGTTGAGAGTTGAGCTCTGGTGGCAGGTTGTGTATTTGATGCCATTCTCAAACAATGTATTCAATTTTCTTAAATGTTCAGACATTTAAAAAAAATGTTAAATATCAATTCAAGCGCAACATTTTATTTATTTTATTTTATTGTTAATTTTAATCATTCTAATTAATTTTTGTTCTTAAAATTGTATTTTAATGTATTTTGTTTTATTTCAACAATAACCCAGGAGAAACATTGGAATTTTAGTTGAGAACTTTTTTGACATTTCATGAGTAAACCAGGCAACAAGCATTGTGGTGCAAATCAATTTTTATTTTATTGTATTGTATTCCAATTTCAAACTATTTATATATGTTCTTATTTGATTAGCTAATCATGTCCCATCAATATGTAAACATGTTCATTTCATTCTCTGAGATTAAATGTTGAAACAAGTAGCACAGTGATGTGGTTGGCACACCTGCCTTGCAATAGAGGCAGTGCACTATCCCAGCTGACTTTGGGCGAGAGGATTGGTACGCCCTGGATTGGTCGCCGGCCAGTCACAGGGCACAAATAGACAACAAAGCATTCACACCGTTGGACAATTTGGCGTCTTCGATGTCTGAAGCAAACAGAGAGCATTGGGAGAATCTGCAAACTCCACACAGGAAGGCCGGAAATAAGATTGGAAGCCACAATTTGAGATGTGTGAGCCGCCATGGTGCCACCTTTGAATACCCAATTCAACATTTCGTTCATTGTTACTGCATGTCCTGCAGTCTTGTGCACTCCACTCCGAGCTGTTGACGTTTGATGAGTGACTCAGAGCTGTGCCTTGGCCTTATCTTCATCCTCATCCTCCTCATCCTCCTTTCAGCCTCCACATTTGCTCCATCTTTGGTGACTTTTTGCGTGAATGGGGCTCCATGGGAACCCTTCTTTCTGGTTCTCCTTGCCCCCATCTTCGGACTCTTGTCATTTGTAAGTCTTGTAGAAAAAAAAGAGTGTTCGCCAATGACAAGCGGAGGATTATTATTGCATTTTCCATGGAGGCGAGTTTCGTCCCATGATCATTAAGATGAGGGGATGTTGTTCATATTTGTCAAAGGTGGGCATGTTAAGACTTTTTAGGGATTAAGGGTTGTGGAAATTCATTTGCTTTGACATGACTCAAAATGGTGCCCCGTTAATCCAGTGGTTAGCGTGTTGACCTCACAGTGTGGAATTTGCATGTTCTCCCCGGGCCTGCGTGGGTTTTCTCCGGGTAGTCCGGTTTCCTCCCCCATTCCAAAAACATGCATGGAAGGTTGATTGAACACTCTAAATTGTTCCCAGGTATGAGTGTGAGCGCGGATGGTTGTTCGTCTCTGTGTGCCCTGCGATTGGCTGGCAACTGGTTCAGGGTGTCCCCCGCCTACTGCCCGAAGATGGCTGGGATAGGCTCCAGTACCCCCCACCACCCTTGTGAGGATGAAGCGGGTCGGAAAATGAATGGATGGACGACTCAAAATAATGTATTGTGAGCATATCTTGTATTTCTCTTGTTCAACTGATTGTGTTGAGTAGCTGGGAGAGAGAGGTCCATCCATTTTCTACCATTTATCGAGGGTCGGGTTGTAAGGGCAGCAGCTTTAGCAGAGAAGCCCAGACTTCTCTGTCCCAGCCACTTCTTCCAACTCTTCCGGAGGGATCCCGAGGCATTCCCAAGCCAGCCTTGAGACAAAGTCTCTCCGGCATGTCCCGGGTCGTTCCTGGGCCCTCCTGCCGGTGGGACAAGCACCAAACACCTCACCAGGGAGGCGTCCAGGAGGCATCCTAATCACATGCCCGAGCCACCTCATCTGGAAGTTATGAACAGAATCAGTGAAAAAAGGCAGCCCTCAGTGGAAACGAATCCGACTAAGTGCCAGTAATGCAGACCATATTCTGACACTGGTCATATAGGGATTGTAGGACACCGTAGGGTGTCCGGCACTCGTAATCACACCCCACAAGATCCTCTGGGAAACATGGTCGAACACCTCCAAATCCACAATTTGATGAATAAATGACACGACAATCTAAAAGTTGCTGTTTTGTCTGCCTCCTTGTCTCTGCCCAGGCCTCGTTACATGGTGGACTGTTGCCGGCGTAGCGATGTTCACTAGTTCCAATCAGTCCCTGTCTATCTCCCTCACTCCCACCCTCCACTCCCCATCCACGTGTGGTCCGGGCGGACAGCAACGCGTGCACTCCTCCCTGTCCCTCCCTGAACCCGAGCCCTGGCGGAAGCCCCCCCCGGCCGGCCGGCCCAGCCTGGCACAGGGCGTCCGTTCCTGTTCCCTGCAGGTGCCGCACGGCGAGTTCCCGGAGCTCCCCGCTCGGGCAGCCAGCTTCGACCTGCCGCACGCCGTAGCTGATGACTCCGACCGGGGTTCGGGCTCCCCCAGCCCGCACGGCGTTCTCCGGCGCCGCGGTGGCCTCGTGGAGCAGAGGGACATCATCATGGCTCATCAGGCTCACAAGATGCAGAGCACGCCACAAGCTCGCAGAAAGGAGTGGGAGTAAGTTGTTCTGAACTCCTGTTTCCACACCCTGATGCATTCTACAAGTGTCAAAAGAAGCTAACTGCTATAAATAGTCCACCAATAACTATAATAAAAAGGGATACTGGAGCATATCGAGGGGAGGGTGACTATTGTATGCGCTTGGGAGGGCAGGCTCTACACCAGGTGTGCCCTAACTTTTTTGACCGAAGATCTACTTTTCGATCAACGCACGCACATACACACGCATGCCATGATGAGCAACAGCCATAAAGGCCCTTAAGGTGAATGAAACAGAAAGATAAGTAGACACAAGAGTTGATGAGTTTGTGAAAAGGAAATCACTGCATACATTTGTGGGAGACCTGACGCGGAGGCATGCGACACACTTTTGCAACCTTTTAACTATCGTAGCTCCCGCGTACCACTTTTCAATGCTTCTCTCGGCCCTCCAGATTGCGTGCCATGGGTGGGTTGCACACGAAACGAACTTTGAATGAGAATAATAAGAATAAAAGCTATATCGCAACATCTCTTATAGCGAGTTGCAATTGCAGACTGCTGAGCGCTAACAACTTCCGGTGATGCAAGTCACGCGCCACCATAAGTTTAAGGTGACCTGCTTTATTCAATTTTATTTTTAAAATATTTCTTGGTTAAAGTGAGACTGATAGGATGATGAGGGTGCAGTGTGCATTAACACAAAAAATATATTACTAACATGCACAGAGACAAGAATACGTTTGATTGTTTTTCTTCTACACCCTCGCGATCGACTTGCGACCATTCCGCAAGCTACCGGTCAATCGCGATCGATGTAATGGGCACCCCTGCTCGACACACAGACTCACTTCACTGAATGCCTTTTGTTATGACAACAATCAAATATTGGACCCATCACTACTCTGTATACACGATAGTTTGTTGTTTGTAGATGTTACTGACCTAGTGAACTTCTTTCGGTTTGACACGCTTTACAAACTGAGAAAATGAATGTCATCCACACACAGTTAGTTCACGTTACGAATTTTAACACCATTGTTGTTGAGCAGAGGCTGCGAATCTACAAAACCTAATGTTTCTACGGGTGTTTTAGCATGAGTTAATCTAAAACAAAAATAATTGAAAATGCATTTAAAATAAATGAAAATTTAATACAGAGAGATCAAATAAAATTACATTGAATGAAATGAATTTCAGGTAGTCGAGTGGTTAGCACGTCCGCCTCACAGTACAGAGGTGGAGGGTTCGATTCCAGCTCCGGCCTTCCTGTGTGGAGTTTGCTTGTTCTCCCGTGCCTGTGTGGGTTTGCTCCGGGTTCTCCAGTTTCTTCCCACAGTCCAAAAGGAACATTCAAAATTGTCCCTAGGTGTGATTTGTGACCACGGATGGTTGTTCATCTCTGTGTGCCCTGCGATTGGCTGGCAACCGGTTCAGGGTGTCCCCCGCCTACTGCCCGAAGACAGCTGGGATCGGCTCTAACACCCCCACCACCCTTGTGAGGATAAAGCGGCTTGGATAATGGATGAATGAATGGAAGTCAATTTCAGTAACATAACTGCATGACCTTGAATTACATTCAAGAAATTTAGAAAAAAGTTCAACACAATTAGAAACCATTTGACAATAAGTACATGAAATACGTTTCAATAAATCCGTTGCCTCTCAACAGTGAGCCGAACAAGCAAACCACTTTTTTCCCGTGCTTGCTTTCTTAGCATTGTGTACAATTTCTGACTTAAATGAATATCGCATATGAAGACCGGGTGGATGTGCGTGTATCTCCGTTTCCAGTGAGCTTATATGTTCACCGCTTTAAATAGCCTCCACCTGCTTCTGTCTGGTTCACTCAGGAACCATCGTTTCCAGCATACGTTGGTGTACAAATGACTGCCTTGGGAATTCAAAAGAAGAAGGATAATTTAGCGGAACCGCGCTACATCAAAAAATCTGATTTGTTATAATATTAACAATAATCATGACACATATTTTTATTTAATGACACTATACTGAGTGTATCTAGCAAATTAAGCAGAGCTTTTAATCTTTTGAATTATTTTAAATTCATGAATGTGAGGGCGGCTCGGTGGTCGACTGGTTAGCGTGTCAGCCTCACAGTGCAGTGGTGCAGGGTTCGATTCCGGCAATGGCCTTCCTGTGTGGAGTTTGCATGTTCTCCCCGGGCCTGTGTGGGTTTTCTCCAGGTACTCCGGTTTCCTCCCACATTCCAAAAGCATGCATGGCAGGTTAATGGAACACACTAACAGTTAGTGACTAACTTGACCCAAGGTGTGAGCGTGACTGCGAATGGTTGTTCATTAATGTGTGCCCAGCAATTGGCTGGTGACCAATTCAGGGTGTACCGTGGCTACTACCCGAAGACAGCTGGGATCGGCTCCAGCATGCTCCGCGACCCTCGTCAGGACAAGCGGTTCGGAAAATGAATGAATGAATGAAAAATAATAATAATAAAAATAATAAAAAGATTTGGTTGGTTGGGTGTTAAAAAATAAATATGTTCTGATACGATATGAAAAAAAAGTGAAAAGGAAAATATGAAAAAGTTGAGGTCACAGCCACCCAGTGTCGTCAGTGAGTGAGTCACCTTGACAGGAAGTCGTGTGCTCAACTAATGCTGCTTTGGTGCTACCTTCTTTATAATTTTTTTTCTTCTAATTCTTTAGAGGTTCTGCAGCAAAGCAATGAATCATACAATCATTTCCCACGGATTCATGGCTCCAAACTCAGTTTTTCACTATTTGTGTGTGCGTGTGTGTGTGCGCGCGCGCTCGCGTTTGCACAGCCATTAATGGCCGAGCTGCGGGTGCCGTGATGAGACGCTTGGCAACACTTGAGAGTGGAGTGGCTTTCCATCAAGCGTAACCCCAAGCCCCCGCCCCACAGACGCACGCTTCCTCCCCCATCCCTCCTCGTTTTCGTCCAACACCCACTCCATCCACCCCAACAGTTAGCAGCTCCTTCTTTACAGTATTTGTTAGCCTCACTTTTTTTATTACAGGACATAATACGTTGGCAGTGTGAAAGGATGCGCCAAGCTGTGCTACCTTTTTTTTTTTTTTTGGAGTGCATTGCAGTTTTTTGGCCATTAGGGGATGCTAGGGAATCAAAGTAGGAAAGCAGCGGACTGCGTTTGCAATTGGAATATTTTGTTTCCTTATTATTTAAAATCACATCATTTGTATGGTTATTATATTATACCTGTGGACTATATATCTTTTATTTTTTATTTTTCTAGTCGACCATATTTTTAGTTGTTCAGTTATTCATGTAATTATTTTTTTAAATTATAACAATTTCTTCGTCATGATTAAACCAGATAAAAATCAAAACAAAAATAAATATTCTCAAAAATTTTAGACTTATTAACTACTCTGTATTCACAATTTCAATACTTTTATCCATCCATCCATCCATTTTCTGATCCACTCAATCCTCACAAGGTGGGTGGGTGCTGGAGCTATCCCAGCTGTCTTCGGGCAGTTGGCGGGGGACACCCTAAACCGGTTGCCAGCCAATCACAGGGCACACAGAGATGAACTCAATACTTTCAATGATGTTTAATTCATATCCAACACATTAACGTGTGCATAGTTTTCAACGCTAAATCAAACTTTCCTTTGATTTGCCGCGCCCACATTATTGAACATTTAGCATTCACTTCCACAGCACAGTTAGTCATCCATTTGAATGGCACTTCTTGCTCCAAATAGTACTGATAGCTGTTGCTAGGGAACAACTGAGAGGAAATGGCATTGCAAGAAAATTGTGTGCTTTATCAAGATGGAACCAAACGGCAGCAAATACATGGAGAAAAGCAGCACCCCTTAAACTGGACCCTGTGGAACTCCAATAGACAGTTGAGGAGAGCGGGACTGACAACTACCGACCAACTACAAATGTAAAGTTGTAGATGGCCGCAATGCCCTCCACTGGGTATTCTTTGGATGTTATGAAGCACTCTGATTGGATACAATTTAAATTTTTAAAAAAGTGTAGTTGCTTCTCAGATACTTCATATGTATATATTTATAATTTTTAAAAAAGTAATTTCCTTCATCATATCTATTAAAGACAAAATATAGTTTGTTGTGGAAAAATGTGCTTCATTTTTTGCTCAATTTTAATCATAATTTAAAAATTATGAATACTTATATTTCAACAGCTCATAAGTGAAGATACATCCTGATTACTTAACATTAAGGGTTAACTCAGGGAGGGAAGGGGTCCCCTAATTGATATTTATTGATAAATTAGTAGGCGTAGATGACAACAGTGTACCTCACTGGCCAACTTTGAGATTCCTCCTTTTTGTCCATACGCTGTAGTTTCCAATCGGCAGCACAAACTACCGTAGATCTCAAAGCCTCACCAAGCTCTGTACTTCTGTGCATGTGTGTGTGTGTGTGTGTGTGTGTGTGTGTGTGTGTGTGTGTGTGTGTGTGTGTGTGTGTGTGAGACGAAAAGCACATTTCTGCAGGAAGAGCCATTGTGAAAGATGTCTTTTGTTGGCAGAAATAAAAAGAACGGCAGCAGGAATTGAAGCCAGCCTGGTTGCTATGGAAACAGCAGACATTGGGAGATGGTGCACATCAACAGAGAGAGGAAGTAGAGAGAGAGAGATGCTGTTTGGAGGGCTGGACAAACAATTTGCTAGATGGTGTGTTTTATGGAAGTGTGCAGATCAATGGAATATTTTTCTAATGTAGTGAGAGGTGTATTCTAATGTACAGTATATATGTACGTACACACACGCGCACAGACAGGCATTGCATGTATGCATGCACGCACATGACTAAATACTACTACTGATAATAAATGGCTTGCTAATACTTTGAGAGATATGTGAAATGTCAAACTTGACACCACCATCAAAAGCAATTGTTGATATATTATGGAATAAAAAGACTGTTCATATGGTTAAAAAAAAGTTGAAACAAAAGAATGAAAACATGTCATGTTTGAAGTAACTGACAAAAAAAAAATTATAGATCAAAAAC